GCTGAATTGGGGGCGGCAGAGGAAGGTGCCACCGGGTGGCCGGTCCGGTGGCACACTGTGAGGGGGCCGGCCGTTTGATGCTGGAGCCGCCGGACCGGGTAGCAGCCTCGCCGGCCCGGCGGCTTTCCTCTGACTAACACTGAAGGAGGAGGAGGAGGAGCATCTGTCTATCATGCTCCCTGCGGTTCCCACAATTCCCAGCACAGGATGTGGGAACCGCAAAGGAGCATGACAGACACATCCTCCTCCTCCCCCTTCTTCATCGTTAGTGAGCGGAATGCCGCCGGACCGGCAAGGCTGCCACCCGGTCCGGCGGCTCCAGCATCAAACGGCCGGCCCCCTCTGACTTGAGTAAGAGGGGGGAAGAGGGGGCAAGAGAGATATGGGGGGAAGAAGGGGCAAGAAAATATGGGGGGGTACAAGGGCAAAGAGATATGGGGAAGAGGGGAAGAGAGATGGGGAAGAGGGGCACAGGAGAGATGGGGGAAGAGGGGCAAGAGAGATGGGGAAAGAGTAAAAAGAGAGATGGGGAAGAGGGGCAATAGGAGAGATGGGGGGGAAACAGAGAGATGGGGAGGGGGGGGAAGAGGGGCAATAGGAGAGGAGGAACAGAGATGGGAGGGGGAGCAGAGGCAAGAGAGATGGGGAGGGGGAAAAGAGGCAAATAGGAGAGATGGGGAAGAGGGGTAAATAGAGAGATGGGAGGAGGAGAAAAAGGGGCAATAGAGAGATGGGGAGGGGAGAAAGAGGGGGAACAGGAGGAGATAGGAGGGGGTGGAAGAGGGGGCAATAGAGAGATGGGGGTGGGAAGAGGGGGCAATAGAGAGATGGGGGGAAGAGGGGGGAACAGAGAGATGGGGAGGGGGGGAAGAGGGGGCAATAGAGAGATGGGGAGGGGGAGAAAGAGACAGAGGGGGAAGAATGAGACACAGGGGGAGAAAGAGGGGGAATATAGAGATGGGGAGGGGGAGAAAGAGACAACGAGGGAAGAATGAGACACGGGGAGAAAGAGGGGGGATAGGGAGGGGGAGAAAGAGACAGAGAGGAAGAGAGATGTGGGGGAGAGAGAGACAGGGAAAGGGGGGAGAAAAACAGTGGAAGAGAGGGAGAAAGAGGCAGAGGGGTAAGAGAGACTGGGAAGGAGGGGGGAGGAAGAAACATACAGAGGGACGGGGGGAGACAAAAAGGCACACAGAAGGGCTGTAGATATCACTGGTGGATCCAGGGGGGCAACAGGGCAATTGCCCCCCCCCTCCCCTGTCCGCAGGCACCATGCGGGCAGGGGAGGGAGGAAGAGAGGACCTGGGAGCTCACCCTGCAGCTCCTCTGGGTCCTTCTTGCACGAGCACAGAGCGTTGCCGCGATTACCATGGCAACGTTACCGCTCTTGCGAGAGTCAACTCTAGCCCTGGAGCTACGGTCTAGTGTTCACTCTCAACACTGTGACCCCCAGGGATTCCTGGTGGTCGCAGTGGTGAGAGTGAACTCTAGCCCCATAAACACACTGCCCCCACACACACACCATACACATTCACACACTGCCCCCATACACACCATACACATTTACACACATTGCCTCACACACACACATACACTGCCCACCCATATACACACAGACCCCCATACACAGCCCCCCATACTAACATTGCCACACACATACACAGCCCACACACCCTACACATTCACACACTACACCCCCACACACACACTGAACCTTTCACACACATTGCACCACTGCTCCTATTCCCTACTACAGCCCCATATCCCAGCAGATCCCAGGTAAGTTGTCAAACTGTTCTTAAATGGTTTGACTACTTACTCTGGAGCAGTAGTGGTTATTGTGCATAGATTATTTCTTTAAATAATTTACAAGTGCCCCAGTAGCCAGCCAGCCAACCCACAGGCTGGCCAGTAGCCAGCAAGTTAGCCAGCCCACAGGCCAGTAGCCAGCCCACAGGCCTACAGCAAGCCACAGGCTTACATCCAGCAAGCCCACAGCCTGCCAGTCGCAGCCAGCAAGCCACAGCCTGCCAGCCGCAGTCAGCAAGCCACAGCCTGCCAGCCGCAGTCAGCAAGCCCACAGCCTGCCGGCAGTAGCCAGCAAGCCCACAGCCTGCCAGCCGCAGCAAGCAAGCCCACAGACTGCCAGCCAGCAACAGTAATTAAGGTAAGAAGAGCCAACTTGGCCTAGGTATCAGCGAGCTATGTTGTGTTGCTATATTGTGAATAGAAACCAGAGTGTTGGAGAGACCACCCTCCAGGCCCCATTAGACTCCATTGTAGTCTCTAATGGGGCCTGGAGGGGATTCTTTCTAACACACTCTCTAAAGGACACTGAGATAGCCCCCGCTAGAAAGACCCCCCTCCATGGCCCATTAGCCCTCAATTGTAGTCTCTGCTGGGGCCTCGAAGGGCTTATTGCCCTTTTGTTCCTTGTGTCTAAAGATTGTGTAGGGTGTGGCTGGAGGCGGGCATGGAGGCGGGACAAGGGTGGCGCTTGCTGCAGAGTATGGGTGGGGCCTGTAAGGGGGCCCTTGATTTATTTTGCCCGGGGGCCCTGAGGGTTCTCAGTCCGCCCCTGCAGTACACAACACTTTGTATTGCATTTTCTTGATGTTTATGCAACTCTTTAAGCTTGTTTAGTTTCTCCACTATTTATATTTATCATTGAATTATTTGTGGTTTACCATTAATGTTTAGGAAAACAGTATTCTAACAAATACATATTAAAAACTCTCTCCGAGATTGCATTATTGTTTGTTTTGTGTAAAAAATATATGGATAACTTAAGAAGAAAAAGTTTACAATGTCAGCATCTGAAATGGTTTATAGATCAGTGGTTATTAACGTTGCCATTATTATTTCAATGAAGTACATAGCATTAGCTTTGCGAACCATTTTTCTATTGTAAGCTTAACTCGGTGCCCATTCTATAATTGCAATGTTACATGTACTGAAATACATTCTGCAAAACACTTTCAGTGGACTTCACTAGCACGGGGAAAGCTTTTGTTCCAACAATAAACAGTATATTCTGGACACCTGAGTCCTAACCAAAGGACTTTTATCCATGAATTACTAAATAAGGTCAATTAAACCAATTTTTTTTTAACATTTAATAAATTATGAAGCATTGTATTTGATGAGAAGTGTTTTAAAGAACTTCATGTGTTTAAGTAAGAGATCAATTAATTAAAGCTTGTAGTAATAGCCCAGAAATATGAAAACACAACAGAAAAACACAGGTTGCGCCAAATACCAGAAAAAAGGGAAAACATATTCCAACTGAGTATAGTCCACAACTTTCTTGTATCTTTTATACCTGTTCAAAAAGGTAGACCCAGATTTTTCCAAAGTATCGGTGGAAATCTCAATGGTTCTTCACAATCAAACATTACATTGGTTATTTTCTCATGTTAATTTGTCATTGTTGGTTAAATTAGTTATCAGCTAATTAGTTAAAGGTGGCACTATAGGCACCCAGACCACTTAATATTGATGAAGTGATCTCAATTCCATATTCCCCCCCATTTTAACCCTGCAACTGAAAGCATTGCCATTCTGCAGAACAGCAATGTTTTCATTGCAGGGTTTAAGTGCCTCTAGGGAATGTCACATAGACAGCCACTAGAGCCGCTTCAACAGAAATATCAGATGGCCTCAGACAGAGCATCTGTGTATGCGCACAAGCCTCCCAATACTTTCCTGAGAGAAAACCATTGATCTTGATGCTCTCAGCTAAAGAGGTGGGGTCAGCCAGGGACACTGGTACTATGAGGGAGAAAAGATAAGTAGACTACATTTTGACTCCCTACAGGGGTTGTTCACTTAAACATAATCTTAATAGAAAGGATAGGGGGAAAGGTTGTGCAAAAATAATATTTGTCTACTGTGTGTAAGCAACATGAAAAGCTATTACAACAGGATAATCAATATATGAATAAAATGGTTACTATGTTAGAAGCAGTTGATATTGTAAAAAAAAGTCCAGAGTAGAAATATAGACTTGCCAAAAGAAATGACTATGGAATTTTTCAGAGAATATTCTTCCGTCAGGAGATCAAGGTCTGAAGAAATCTTGAAATGTGTATATAAAATAACAAAGAGAGACTAATGATGTAATATATCCCAGAATTTTGTATATATTAAAAAGTCTATATTGTCCTAGTCACGTTTTTTAGAGCTTTGACCAGCTCTAGTATGGATAGCGTACAGTGGTACAATCCCCACTTATCGGATACATGAGACGTTGATAGCTGTTTCAATTTTGTGAAGTCCATAAAATGATAAAAGGAACAATAATAGGGCTCACTGTTTTAAAACTCCAGGAGTGTAGAGATATAGAAATTAGAACTCACATTTAATTGAGCAGGCGCACTGCTCAATGAATAATGCTTGAGTGGTATAATCCCCACCTAGGATTCTTTAGAGTAGTCCTCACTGGTACAGAATAAAAATGGATGCCAGGCAGTAGAGATGTAAAAATTTAAAATAATAATAAAAAAGTAAAATGGGACACTCACAGTATAAAAGTAGCTAAAAAACCTTTCTTAACAACAGTAAAAATATCCACAACGTGTTTTACCTTTAAGGCTTTATTAAGTGGAGGTAAAAAGAACTGACCTGACAAGCAAACGTTTATATACATACATAATTGATTCAAATCTGGCACCAAAATGACATCAAAACAACATTTAAAACATTTCTAAAATGTACATTTGAGCTTATTAAGAGAATATATATAAGAGGCTATTTATGTGAAGAATAGTGTTAAACAATGTTTAAAACGTTTAGAATATGCAATTACAATTGATCACATGGTCCGTGGCCATCTTTGTTATCGGACCTCGCCACGTGGTTAGCACTAGGTCTTCTGGGTAATATAGTTTTGAGCTGCAATCGGCTCAAAACAAAAATGAGCGCCGCATTTTTTTTCCCCCTCTCTCCACCCTCTGTCGGCGCTGAGCCTCCATAGACCACTCCGGGATCTAGCTGCCACCATGATCATCTACAGGGATATCATCTCTGGAGACAAGATGTTCTCAGACATCTACAAAATCAGAGAAAGCAGATTTGGACTTTGCTATGAAGTTGAAGGCAAGATGGCCTCTACAATAGAAGGTTCAATTGATGATGCTTTGATTGGTGGAAATGCATCTGCTGAATGCCCAGATGAAGGGTCAGATTTAACAACCGTCACAGGAATTGATATAGTATTAAACCACAAGCTTCAGGAAACCAGCTTCACAAAGTAATCTTACAAATCGTATATTAAGGGTTATACCAGCAATTCCCTACAAAGGGCTAAGGGTCCTGGAGACTTAATGACACATTACTGTACGATACATCCATAGTAGACACGGTTCATAAAGACCTGGTTGACTATATAACCCTTAGCCCACCTGGTGACACAAACATAGAAAATTTATGGCAAGCAAACAATGCGGTCATTAGGGGGAGCTTTATAAAAGCAGCTAGCTATGCAAAAAAAACAGAGACTCAAAAAATATATATGGATACGATCAAGGAGCTCACCGAACTAACACACAAAAACAAATCCGTTCCCTCTCCCACACACAGAAACAAACTTAGACTCTTGTAGGATAAACTAAAATAAATAGAATTAGCTAAAACCACACGCATGCTCTGCAAATACAAACATGAATTCTTTGCACAAGGTAACAGACCAGGTACCCAGCTCGCCTCCCAACTGCAGGCTCGCATGACTCACTCAAAAATAGCACAAATTGTGTCCCCAATGAAAGGTAAAATCCTGAACCCTAAAGGCATTGTTTATGAGATTGCCACATAATATAGCATGCTATATAACCTGAGAGATGATCCTACCATACACACACCAAACATAACAGAAACTGAGGCAATCCTGGATTCAGTCGTTTATCTCAATGTCAATCAATTATAGTTTTTTGCTTTTTTTAAAAAAAATAGGATTTCCATAAGACCTAAAGTGCATATTTCTAGTTTTTTGTTCCATTCATTCATAAATTCTGCATCTTCTTGGTCTGAGGTAGGTAATTTTAAAAACCTTAGGTCTCTTGGGGTAATCTGTTCATCTATATTTTTTAAGTGTTGCTATTTCCCATATAAGTTTTATTTCCGTTGTTAGGGTTTTTTCTAGTTTGTAAAAAGTTCTTGTTGACTGTAATTGTTAGAGCTTAAAGGAGTTGGTGTAATTTCCTCAGAGTCAAAAATGTTAGCAATATCGATAGTATAGTTGTTTCTAAACTCAAATATTGACATGATGATGGTCAGTTTAAAAGCAGCTCTTACCAGAGCAATTATGTACAGGAGAGAAAATGCCGGCAAAATGAACAGTGCTGTTTAACCAAATAAGGTTTAGAGATATTAGACAGGTAGGCAACACACCTTCAAGTGTAGGACTCCCTCTTATCCACAAGTACAATGGTAGAAAGGATAGAGGGAAAGGTTGCGCCAAAACAATATTCATCTACTGTGTGTAATCAACACGAAAAGCTATAACAACAGGATAATAAGTATATGTATAAAGTAATTATTATATATAAATATAATCTTAGGAATATACATTTGTATTTCTAATGACATGGAAATACCAGTATTAGAAAAATCATCCAGGCACTTCAATGTCTTCAGGCACCTTTTTTAGAACACGTGGAACACTTCAACGTTTCGACTCCCAATGGAGTCTTTGTCAAGCTTGTAGCTTGACTTCATTGGAGGCGAAACATTGCAGTGTTCAACATGTTCTAATAAAGATGACTGGAGTCATTGGTGTGCCTGGATTCTTTTTATAATACAGATATTAATTATCTTTTGAGTTTGTGCTGGCCCTTGGTTCAGCTAAGCACCTGTCAAGGTTAGTATAACACGCTAACTATAGGACTAACAGACAACCCAAACTAGACGTATTACTGGTCTTTAAAGTGGCCGGACTTAACATGAAGAAAAGTAAGGAGAATAACAGAATAATCAGACGAGCCGAGGTCAGGGTAGGAGAAGGAAGAATAAACAAGAAACAAAGCCAAGGGTCAAGGAAGCCAGAAATTATGGATAAGAGACAAGCCGGAGTCAGATACCAGGAAACACACAAGTATACAGAACGCACTCTCTGAAAATTCTCTTTTTTAAAATGTTTAAATTTTAATAGTAAAGGTATTATCTTAGCCTGGGAATATAGCCAATCCCTTATTCATTATTTAGATTTAGAAATTTTTATTCAAAATAACCAATTACATACAAGGACTTTTGTAATGTTGTGAAAAAAAACATTAATAAGCACTGCATTTATTAAAGCAGGATGACACTTTAGCTGGAATTATTCCTGACAAACCTCATGTCATATTTAGAGGAGCACCCAGCTTTAAATCCATCCTCACAAAAAAACTTTACTAAAGATAAGAGTACTACTTCCCACTCAAATTCCCCCTCCTTTTTTACTGAACCCAAAGGTTTTTTTAAATGTAAAAAGTGTATAGCCTGTAAACGTACTGATGCAGCCATTAATTCAGAAACTACCTCCTTCACGTCATCTGTCACACAAAAGACATATTCCATAAAAATATTTATCCATTGTAAAACAAGAAATGTAATCTACTTATTGGAGTGCCCATGTGGGCTCCAATATGTGGGAATCGCGACCAGGAACCTTAAGATTAGATTGGCGGAACATTGCCACAATATCTCTAAAGGCTACGAGAATCACTCAGTAGCTAAACACTTTTTAAAGCATGACAAAAATCCCAAACATCTTAAATGTATATGTATTGACATATGCAAAATTCCATGGAGAGGAGGTACCATGAAAAAGATTTTAGGAAGTAAAGAAATGGAATGGGCATACAACTTAAATACTCTCACTCCACAAGGTCTTAATATAGAGTTTGACATTTTTTACTTCCTATAGATTTTATAACATGGTATATTTTGTTTAACCTATTTTATATTTATTTATATGCATCTTTATTTTATTTTTTAATTTATTTTTTAATTATTTTTATTTTTATTATTATTTTTATTTTTCTGATTTTTATACTATTAACTTTCTATGATATGATTTTAATATATATAATTTTTACCATATATATTTTTATTATATTTCATCTGTTTAATGCATTTTATTTATTTCCCACTGATTTTTCTATTTCTATTTTATTTATTGCATGTACCTTCCCATTCATACTTACTTTTCACTGTTCCTTAATTTTGTGTATACTTGTATAACTTCATATTTGTGACCAGTATATATGATTTATGTTTATATGTTATTACCTTATTTTTATTTGTGAAATATTCTATGTATATAGATCCCTTTGTTTATACAATAAGAAGGTCTGCCTTGTCTCTCCGAGACAGCCAGTTCTAGGTCTCGATCTTATACAGTGTGGGAAGGTTTGTACTGTGTGCTGTCTGTGCTGCCATTTGCACCAGACAGCCCATCGGAATAATTCCATTCCCACTTTATTAGTGATTTTAGACATATTATGAAACTTGGGGCAAAACAGAATATAGGTAATATGCCACAAAACAGGATACTTGCAATTAATAAAGAATGTCTAATTTTCAGGTAGGGTTGTAACAAAGGCAGGCTGGTTACAATTGAAGGCTGGTTACAGATTCAGGCTGGTTTGGAGTATAGGTAAGGATGGAGCAGGTTATTGTTAGGAGCAGGTTTGAAGGTAAATCTGGAGCCAGGAACTGAAGTCTCTTTTGTATTTCTTCCTTTGTTAACAGCTCTCGATTCCTGGAAGGTAAGATAGTCTCAGTCTTTTTCTCATGTGATATGCAGGAGCTTGATTGCAGTAAGAAAGAAACAGTTTTGCATAGTTCCAAGAGACTTTCAGCAATGATTGTTAGAACGTTGGTTAACCCTGAAGTCTCCGGTTTAAGGCCTTTACATTGAAGTTCATATTGAAAGACTTCATATCCTGGCTCCTGTGAACCTGCTTCAGACTTACCTTCAAACCTGCTCCTAACAATGACCTGCTCCACCCTTACCTATACTTCAAACCAGCCTGCCTCTGTAACCAGCCTTCCACTGTAACCAGCTTTCCACTGTAACCAGCCTTCCCCTGTTATCAGCCTTCCACTGTTACCAGCCTGCCTTTGTTACCTGGAAATTACAGACATTCATTATTATTTGCAAGTAACCTGTTCTATGGCAAGTATCCTGTTTGGTGGCATATTGCCTAAAGTCTGTTTTCATTCAAGTTTCATAATTAAAAAAAAAACACTAATAAAGTACCTGAAGTCAACCCTGGCATAAGTCTCCTATCTGACCTGCACAAGATCATAACAATATCTCCCAGCGTCTGTGTCCCAATGTCCATGTGTCCCTAGTGTCTGTGTCCCCATTTCTCCCAGTGTCCCCAAATGTCTCAGTGTCCCCATGTCTCCCAGTGTCACCATATCTGTATCCACAAGTGTCTACCAAGTGTCTCAGTGCCCCCATGTCTCCCAGTGTCCCCAAGTGTCTCAGTGTCCCCGGGTCTCTCAATGTCCCCATGTCTCACTGTGACACTGGACACACTGAGACAATGGGAGAAATGGGGACACTGGGAGACTAGGGGACTGGGCGACACGGGGACATTGACACTGTAATACATAGGGACACTGATGCCAGGCTGGCCTTCCAATTCTTTGAACAGACATGCCTCCTTTTTGGGCATATTCGCCCCTTTTTGCAGTTCTAGTCATGTGATTCGCGTCAGTTGCCCACCCTTTTACCCTGCCCATTGACTTCTTGCTTCACTGGACACTGCTGTTAGGGGGTATGGATTCACTTGAAAGATGAAAGCATATTAGAAAGAGATTAGCATAGAGTATGTGTTTTCTTATAGCTGCATTCTTTGAGTTTCCCTCCAATACCATCTCCATCAGATACACGATGCTTGAGAGGTATGACTGTTTTACTGTTTTTGGTCGATAAGATCTGTTATTAGGCCCCAACATAATTGTCAGCACCAGGTCCACTGGGCTCTTAATCTGGCCCTGATTAGAAGGGACCCCCTTTCTACAGGTGTGCTGCCTAGACGTTATATTTCTGTATTCCCTGTTGACATATCAGTGCTGATCCTTTATATATATATATATATATATATATATATATATATATTTATGTATGTAAATTAGATGCAGCTTTAAAATGGTTTTACATATAAAATTATGAATTTTATACATAGTTTAAAGTTTAAGCAATCAGTAATAGAAATATGTTATTAAATAAATATGAATTGCAAGGAAAATAAAGGTAGAAATGATACAGAATATGAAATAAAAGATGAGAGAGGGGGGGGCGTGGTTAGTCGAGCACCAGACAAGAAGCGTTTCTGTGAAACTCCGTCTCAGACCACAGACAGGGGCTAATAAATCATGGTTTCCAGCTCCAAAAGATGTTGGAAATCACGTTTCCCTCCAGAAACAAGAATGGGCCAAAGGCATAAAAAGTTCAACTTTTTACAGATCCCAAAGATGCCAGATATGAGGTTTTCCTGTGCGAGGCCTGCTCCTTCCACGTCCTCCAAGATTGCGCCCATGGTGCCGAGTGACGAGGGAAGCTTGGAGGGAGCACAAGATGACATAGAGAGACTTACCTCATCTGAAATCAGTGAAGTCAAACAGGATTCCGATTCAGAGGATGACTCCTCGCCGGCCATAAAAGGTGACATAAAGCACCTCCTGATATACCTGCAGAAGGTCTGGAAATCAAACCTCAAGGAGACTAAAATGGAGATGGGGGTCCTCTGCCAGCAAACTAAGGAGGTGGAGACCAGAGAAAAGTCTGGAGAGGGTCAGATCCTAAACACCCAGAGTTAGGTGGACAACCAATCCAAGCAGGTCCAGATGCTTTCTAGGACCGTGTCCACACTGGAAACCAGGCACAAGAAAAAGAACATCCGCATTATAGGCAATCCTGAGAAAATCGGTGGTGACACCTTGCTGGCCTTCATACAGAGACTACTAACCTCCATGGGCCTTAAAGGTAAAGTTGAACAAGTGATAAAGCTCTCAGCATTCAGAGTCCACAAAGCTGCTACTGCCCCACTGGAAGCACCCAGAGACACAATAGTAGTCACCAGAGACGTATCCAGCAAGGCAGTGGTCGTTCCAGAGAACTTGGCAGTTCAAAGGCATTGCGGTGCAAATCTACAGTGACATATCGTTAGCTGTCCTGCTTGAAAAAAAGCAATTAGTCCCAACCACTAGGCAACTGAGGGAATCAGCAATCAAATATCAATGTGGAGAGGATGGCTCCTTGATTGTCCCATGGGGGGACACCACATTTTCTTTGTACTCATCTGTAGACCATGTATCCCTCCTCCAGAGTCTGAACTTGCCAGTTCCCCAACCTCAAAGAGCCCACAAAGATGTCATATGCTTATGACCCATGATGGAGATGTATATTTTCTATATCACTGTATGATACACTCTTCCGCTGAATCAGATGTCCCATGAGTGTGAAAACTTTAATAAAACATAAATAAATTTAAAAAATGATGAGAGAAAAGAGAGGAAATAACAAGGTTGAAAACAATTTGATAGCTTATAGGCTCCTTCCATCATTAAAATAAATCTAAATCAAGCTTTAAAAAAAAATGTAAAATAAGAAATTTACAAAATACATCTTGAGAGTGGCAATAAGCTAGTGATGTAATGTTAATATAAACATAACAACAATGACGTATTGTATATGCACACACAATAGTGATATCATTATTGCATGAGCTATTTTTTTTTTTTTTAAATTAAACGTCTTAAAAACGTGGTGCACATTAAATTTACTGCAATCTTTCAAGTGTGTGATAATACCTAAGAATTTCTTCTACATTTTCTTGACTAAAAGATATTTTTAATAAATAAGTAAATATGTTTTTATATGAAACCTTCACAATTTAAAACCTTCATATTAAGCAACGTAGTAAATATGTAAAAGATCCAGGTGATTGGTGTGTACTATTAATGTTTTAGAAGGAGGCATGGTGTCACAGAGTTGCTTGGAGTGCCAAGGGACATTTGGAATTTTGGCACCGCAATGACAGGATGCTAACTGTACCTTTTAAGCAATACATTACTCAGAAGCATAGTATTCGTAAATGTCTTATTGCAGAGCACTAATTTTTTATGCAGTTCTATGAATTATACCAAAGTTAAAATAGCTTAATTTCCTTCTGACATTAAAAGCAGAAATTTCTGATTTGACTCCTCTTTGAAAGAAACTTAACACAATTTGACATATTCTCTAACATTTGCTAATTGCATTAACACTACAATCTATTTAGCAGCTATTAAGAGAAGCCTTCCTTCTATAGCTGTTATTATAAATATGACTATGAAGATGCTTGCACAATTCATCAAACAATTGAAAGTTATTACTGCCTTTTCTTTTCCCTTTTATCTCTCATTTTCTGAGTCAGCTTTCCAGTTATTTCTTGGCCGCTGTACATCAGACATTAATATTAGTCTAACAAGTGCAAATTCGTCAGAAATGCTCCCAGAATACTTCCATCATAATTAAAGGATGACATTGTGGTTCTGCTAAACTTCACATTTTAATTTTCATTTAGGGATCTCTAGGTAACTTTTGTTCTTTTTTTTTTTAAGTCTCATGGCAGGACTGACATAGCTGAAAGAATTACAGAACTATTAGAATGATGTTAGCTCAGTCATTTAAAATCTGTGAGTAATATATCAGGTTAATTGACTTTTCATTCTACGTCACAGTTAGACAAAATGTAGCTTCACAAAGCATTCTGGGAGTTGTTGTTCTACAGTAGTTGAGGTATATCTTGTGTCCACCCATGTTTTACAACACACAAGCATTACCACATTTATTCAAATAGCTGTGCAATGTCCACAGTGATAACATTGTCAGTTAAATGAAAACTCCATGGACGTGACCTCAATTTATTTATGCATTTTATAGATATTGTACCAAAATATGTAAAAAAAAAATATATATATTAATAAAATGCCCTTAAAACACTAGTAATCTTCAACAAAACAGAGTCTTTTTTCAGACTTAACAAGCCTCTCAATCCAGTGGGTCGGTTCTGTGTACTTTCCAAGGTATATTTTTGAAGGTAACAATGAAAAGCTTGATGGGTTTCAGACATGAATAGTACAAGACAAATACAAAGGAAACAATAAATGAACAGTAAATAACATTCCAAGCACCATAACTACTATAGCATATTTTAAAACTGTTTGACCTACCTCCCACCGCATTTTGCCACTCCCTGCTTCCAGTGCTTAACTCAATTAGCTCACTCAGCCAGTGAGCTAAGTCCTGCACTAGGTTTAGCTAAGACATAGAGCTTCCCACTCTCTCTTGGAAGTAGTGGAGGCAGGAAGCAGCGCCTAGCAGACTCCAGGAAAGAAGTCTAAATGTTCTCATTGTTAATTCATTACTCTTTACAATTTACTCTACCAGCCGGGCTCATAAGTCCCAGCATGCAGTAGCTACAATTAGCATGAGAACCATGAGATTATATTTTATTTCTATTATACATGATTTGTCATGAGATTCGGTTAACTACCAGCAGGCCCATCTCTCTACCTGGAACCCTGTTCCTCCATTCACCTCTTTCTAGTGTTAGTAGGAAGGAAAGATAGTAATAAAGGAAGAAAAAGAAACATACAGGAACAAAATAATATGTGTTTAAATCCATCACACAAATTGGCTAGCACTCATTAAAGCTTTTTTATTCACCTTTTTATAGATTTACAGTGATATTGCAACTGTCACCTGTAAAGGCACATACAGGGCATTTTATGCAAATAAATGCCTATTACCCATTATTTGTTTGCATCCTCTTTCCAATTTGCAGTAGTAAACTGCACAACGATATCAAGAAGGAAAAAGGTGGTGCTTATTTTCTTGTTCTATTAGTGATTTCTTTTTAAATTTATTTATGTGCTTTGGCTTTCATATTCCACATAGGAACCACTTTGATTATGTTTACATTGTTGAATAAATTATATATTATGTAAAATTTAAATAAAAACAACAATCCAGTGAAGCTTCTATTTAAAGAAAAATGGTTGAAAAAGCTCCATATAAATCATACCCAAATATGCTTTAGATCTCACTATACTCAGATTTTCTCTCCCACATTCTGTCAATAGACACCAAAATATCCAAAGAAATACCTGATAAATACTCAAATTTAATGCAATCAGATGCAGTAGAAAAGTAAAGTGTCATCAGCAAACTAATGTAACATAAAATAGAAGTGTTCCCTAATAAAATATTGATGTCTGTCTCTGCCGTGTTTGAAAAATTAAATTATTAAATGCAAATATTGTAGCAAATAGGTTTCCATCCATCTCAATAAAAGCTACATTTTGATATCACAGTCATATTATAACACATTATTTTTTTTTAGGAACAGAAAATTCAAGTAACAGCTGCCTGTCCTTTGAGTACTTTTTAAGAAGACAAAGATGATGATGAATAATGTGGCTTCTTTGTCATTAACATTAAACATCAATATGTACCATCATTTTCTTTGCAGATAGGTGCTTTACATGTTCAATGTTTATCAAAAGTTTTTTGCAAGACTCACAAGCTACATTTGAAGGTTTATTCACTAGACTTTGAATTTTTGCAAATTAAATCCAAACGGTGGAAACTGCTAATTTAGAAAAACGATACTACTCAGTTATAGTCACAGTGTGGCTACTTTCGTGTAATCTTTCCAATTCAGGTTTAAGTCACGAAAATTCAGAGTTTAGTAAATAACCCTGACGATAATGCTACAAAATAATTCCATCAATTTATTCTATCAAATAAATAATGACTTTTCCTCCATATTTGAGCTAGAACAACTAAGGTGCTTTGGTTTTACATACTGTGTGTTGGGTTATCACACGACCATGACAGTTTTATAACAAACTGCAATTTGTCTGAATTTGGGCATATCGTGTGATCC